TCTCTCTCTCTATAGTTGATTTTTGCTATTTCTATGGGCGGATGGAACATACTGAAAGTGGTTGTCCTTTTAAGGATGAATTTAATGATCCAAACGATGAAATTGTGTATCAATATGGCCCTTGGCTCCGAGCTTCACCAAGGAAAGTTCTGCGTAAAACCGATGCTGAGATTGCTAAGAAGAAAAAACTGCAGGAAGGATTGTTCTTTGCTAAAAGATCCCGTATTCCGAATTATTATGACACTAATGCTGTGAAGTTAGGACCCCCGGGAGTTGCTCGAAGGCTAGCCTTTTCTTCTTCCCGTGCCAGGGAAGTTACCCTCACTAAGGTAGTGGATGAGTTGACTTCAAAGACTGTTTTGAGAATTAAGAGTGTTGGTGGAGAGGAGCCTGTTGAAAAGGAGGGTGTAGAAATTGGTGAAAATAGTAAGGGGCAGCAGGGGGAAGGTGTGCAATAACCAATTCTTGACATTGCTAGTGATGACATCACTGACATGGACAGTGAACTCAAGAAGCAGGAAGATTGGGAGAAGGAGGGATACAGATATTGCTGGTGAGGAAAGTATGCTTGAAAGAGAGGGAAGGTCTGAGCTGAACTCCGCAAAAAAGTGAAGTTTGGAGGAAGTGATAGGTAGTGTACCAGTTGGGTCACCAACCCAACACAATAAAAAATGCAAATCAGAAATTGTTAACCTTGTTGGAGACAGGATAATTCAAGTAGGGGGAATTGGAGCAGCCCAATCCCCCGAAAAACAATGAAGATTTTGTGTTGGAATTGCAGGGGGGCGGGAAACTCCTGTGCAATTCGTGCTCTCCGTCATTGGAGTCGTAGTCTTTGCCCTGATGTTATATTTTTATCAGAAACTATGATAAGCATGAAAAAATCAGAAAATTAAAAAATAAAATTTGATTTTCCCATGGCTATTGGTGTGGATAGTGTGGGTAAGTCGGGTGGTTTTTGTGTCTATTGGAGAGATGGGTTAGACTTCTCGTTAGTGTCTTTTTTGGACCATCACATCTGTGGAGACATTAAAGAGATGGGTGGTCGGTCTTGGAGGTTTATTGGTGTCTACGGTTGGGCGGATAAGGCTTTAAAGAGCAACACTTGGTCCCTAGTTCGTGAGCTATATTTGGCATCCCCTTTTCCTACTGTTTTTGGGGGTGAATTTAATGAGATCCTCGGGAATCATGAGAAGACGGGTGGTGCATTGAGAGAGCAGCGGGCCATGGATGCTTTTCGAGAGGTCCTTGATGATTGCAGCCTTAGAGACCTTGGTTATGATGGTTCATGGGTGACTTGGGAGCGTGGGACTCCGCCAGGTGAGGTTGTTAGAGAGCGGCTGGAGAGGTTCGTGGCTTGTGTGAGATGGTGTGCGTGGTTTCCTCAGGCTCATGTTACTCATTTGACAAAGTTTAAGTCGGATCATGTGGCCATACTTCTTGATACCGAGGCTAAGGAGTGTAAAGGAAGAAAAAAAGAAAAAAGAAGTTTCGCTTTGAAACTTGCTGAATGTTAGCAGATGGGATTGAGGAAGCCATTAGAAACTCTTGGGATGGGTCTAGACATTTGGATATGCCGAGTAAATTTCTGGCCGTGGCAAAAGATTTGACTCTTTGGAGCAAAGATTCCTTCGACAACCTGGGGGAAAAAATAGAAGAAGCTGAAGATGCTCTCAAGCTTGCTCAACAAAATGCGAATTCCAAGGCAAGACTTGACGAATGTAACAGGTTGGAGGCTGCTTTGGATGATCTCCATGATAAAAATGAAGCATATTGGTTTCTCAGATCACGAGTTTCAGAAATTAAAGATGGCGATCGTAACACAAAATATTTTCATCACAAAGCGGGCCAAAGAAAGAGTAAAAATTATATAAAGGCCTAAAAGATGCTAATGGTGTGTGGCATTCTAGTACGAAGGAAGTGGAAAACATAATCCTCGGCTTCTATGGTTCACTGTTTACCAGCAACGAAATTGATGATGTATTGATGGAGGAAGTCCTTTCGAGTGTGCCACACATGGTGACTGAAGGTATGAATTCATCCTTATGTCGGCCCTATCCAAAAGCTGAAATTTTGCTGCTTTATCCCAAATGGGTCTTTGCAAGGCCCCGGGGCCAGATGGTTTACATGCTATTTTTTATCAGAAATATTGGCATATTGTTGGTGATGATGTGTCTATTTTTGTGAACAATATTATTTCTGGTAGAGTTTCTCTTTGTGAATTAAACCGCACTAATGTGGCCCTCATTCCAAAAGTGAAAGATCCGACATGCATTTCTCAGTTGAGACCGATCTTCCTATGTAATGTGCTCTATAAACTTGCATCGAAGGTAGTAGCAAACAGGTTGAAACCTCTTCTCCAGAGTATGGTGACGGAAAATCAGAGTGCTTTTGTTCCTAAACGATTAATTACTGATAATGCTCTAATTGCATTAGAGTTGTTTCATACTATGAAGAAGAGATCGAATAGTCGAAGGGGTTCGATTGCTATGAAACTTGATATGAGTAAGGCATATGGCCGAGTGGAATGGGAGTTCTTGAGGAGATTGTTGACAAAATTGGGATTTGCTGGAGCTTGGGTGGATACTATAATGGCCTTCGTCTCGACAGTCAGCTACTATTTTCTGAGTGGGGCTCCTTTGGATTCTTTATCTCCATCTAGAGGGCTTAGACAATGTGATCCCATTTCTCCCTATCTATTTATTTTAGTAGCTGATGTACTTTCCAGAATGTTACAGTTGGCGTCGGAGAAAAAGTTGATCCATGGAATTCGGGCAAGCAGAAATGGTCTGGAGATTAATCATCTTTTCTTTGCAGATGATAGTCTTTTGTTTACTAGAGCTACTCCGCAGGAATGTTCGATAATTGTTGATATTCTCAACAAATATGAAGCAACTTCCGGGCAAAAAATTAATTTGGAGAAGTCGGAGGTATCTTTTAGTAAAGGAGTTCCTTTATCATCACGGGTTACCTTTAGCTCTATTCTAGGTATGGAGATGGTCGATTATCATGTGAAGTACCTTGGTTTACCAACTGTCATTGGGAGATTGAAGAAAGCGGTTTTTGCATTTGTGAAGGATCGAATCTGGAAGAAAGTTCAAATATGGAAGGAGAAGCTTCTCTCTAGAGTCGGAAAGGAGGTGTTGCTCAAATCTTTTATCCAAGCTATCCCAACGTATCTTATGGGAGTATATAAATTTACGATGAATTTAATTCAGGAAATTCATAGCATGATGGCTCGGTTTTGGTGGGGGGTCGAATGACCGAGGGAGGAAAATACATTGGAAAAGTTGGGAGTCGTCGCTCTGTCAACCAAAATGGCTTGGGGGTATGGGTTTTAGAGACTTGGGGATGTTCAATGACGCTCTCCTTGGTAAACAACTGTGGAGGCTTGCTTCAAATGAAAATCTTCTCGTGAGTCGTGTTTTTAAAGCAAAATATTACCCTTATTCCTCTATTTTCGACGCAGCCCTTGGGCCGATCTCTAGCTATTCCTGGCAAAGTCTGTGGAGTTCAAAGGCCCTTATCAAGGAAGGGATGTTATGGAGAGTTGGAAATGGGCGTAACATTTGTATATGGGATGACCCTTAGTTGATTGATGATGTGAGTCGGTTTGTCACTTCCGAAAGAGGGGTAGAGGAGTGCATCACAGTGGATGAGCTATTGGATGAGAATGGGTGTTGGGATGTTGGGAAAGTAGATAGGATCTTCAATGAGCGTGACAGCTAGAAATGCAATATACGCGATCCCAATCAGTGAAAGGTGCCCAACAGACTCCCTCACATGGGCTTGGTCTAGGGATGGTCGGTATGAAGTTAAGACTGCCTATCTATTGGGTAAGTCGTGCCAACTAGATAACTTTGAGCAATACTGGGTCGAGATTTGGAAGACAAATTAAACACCTCTCCGAAAGTTCGCCATTTTTTGTGGAGATGTTGCTCGAACACCTTGCCTACGAGGGGCATCCTTGAACGGTGCCATCTTATTGAGGATGCTAATTGTCCCTGCTGTGGTACCGAGTGTGAAACTATTATCCATGCTGTGGTTTCTTGCCCTGCAGTACGTCAACTATGGCTAAGAAGCGGTTGTGGCGAGGCTCTCAATATTGGGAGGGCTGATTTCTTTGGTGAAATAGTCCTTGGTTGGGCTAAAAATCTTCCGAGTGACATCTATCAAAGGAGTCTCTTTTTGGCTTGGTTCATTTGGTTCAGACGTAATAAAGGGGTCTTTGAGAATGTTTGGGAGCTAGATGATGTCCTTCTTCAGCGCCATAGCAGACTGGTGGTCGATTTTGATGAGTACACTCAGCGAATATATGGTGGTTCTGCCCCCAACTTAAATCAAACATGTAGCAATGTATGGGTTCCTCCCCCTCCTGCTGTTGCAAAAATTAATGTCGATGCGTCTATTTCAAAAGAGGGGTGGGTTGGTTTAGGGGTGGTTGCTTGTAACCACTTGGGACAGGTGATGTTTGCAGCTGTACAAAGGACCACGGCACAGTGGGATCCCCTGGTAGCCTAGAGCAAGTAGCATTGTATGGAATCAAGAAAGCTCGGGACTATGGACTGCTTGATGTCATACTTGAATCTGACTCCCTTGTGATGATTTCAAAGCTTTGGAAGAACTCCTTTTCTTTCTCAACAGTTGATAATATTCTTGAGGATATTACTTCGGTTAGCTCTTGCTTTTCTTCCATTTCTTGGTCTCATGTCAAGCGGGATGAGAATTTTGTTGTCCATCACCTTGCTAGGATAGTGCCTATAAGTAGTGAACAATTTTGGGATAATTTTGTGCCTAACGAAATATCCCCGTATGTACTTTTGGACAATCTCACTATGAATTAATGCACTTCCCGCTTTTCTTCAAAAAAAAAAAAAAAAAGTCCAAACCACATTTTAATCACGCACCCTTAATCTTAACAAACACTTGATTTAATTACTTGAAAAGTTAAAGAAATTTATTAATAGTTATTGATAAAAGTACTAATACTATGTACATCATTATTGTGGAATAGTACCACCATAGAACATGATGCGTCCAAATCTATTAGTCCATCCATAATCAATGACACGATAATGTGAATCGTCTGTATAAGTTTCAATCTCATGAGGGTCATTATCTTCCTTTAAATTTTCATCCAACACTACAATTGAATTACAAAAAGCAGCATATTTAGGGTCTGCGATACCAAGGTAGCCGTTTCCCATAGGTGGTAAAGGTTGATCCACAGGGCCATAAGCTTCTCCACCAAATGAGACTTTAGTTGCTAACATTGACAATCCAGTGAATATCTCTTTAGGCCAAAATCCTTGTAAAGTGTTTTCCTTCCCCAATGTAAGCCACCAATTTCCATCTTTCGGATCCTTTGTAATTACACATTAGACATACCAAGTATAAATTATAATCCCTTAAGTAACAACTTAATCAAAGTATAAAGATTGCATTCAAATTATGTAATAAGACAATTTGCATCGACTAACACTACTCCATATATTCATCCTTTTTTGGTTCTATTCATTTTTAATTTTAGTTGGTTATTTTGTTCTTTCACTTTGACTTATTCAGCATTTAAAATTAATTTGTGGTGGGTGCACCATGCGCATGGTGCACCTGAAAGAACATTTAGTATATTTAAAAGAACATGAGTAAAAAATGAACATGTTTTTATTTTCTTGCAACTGCAAATCCATTACTCTCTTCTCCTGCAATTTCTCACTCCTCTTTCCCTTCCTATCACTCTCTTTCTTGCTGCCAATTTTCTCTCTCCTGTACACCATCGTTTTCATCTAAGAATTTTAATGAAGGTCTCAAATTGGTCTCACTTTGCTGTTAATCTCGTAATACTGGTACTTCTTCTACTGTTTGGGTAAAAATCATTTCCAAAGTACTCATTTTCTCTTTCTAGAACTTTTCTCTCTATCTTTTTCTATTTTTCAAAAAAAAAAATAAAAATTCAAAATAGCAAAATTGTTCATCTTCAAAGTGAAACCCAAGAAAAAAATTGAACTTAGTTCAACAATTCAACCTTCAAACTTGAACAAATGATGGATTCAAGTACAATGTAAGTATAAATTTTGTACATGCAAGGTTAATTTTTCAAACACTAGCTTGTTCTTTTTCAAACACTAACATGTTTTTTTTTTTATTCCATGTTCTTTGAAATATGCCTAGTGTTCTTTTCGGAGGCCATGTTCTTTGTCAAACACAAACATGTTCTTTTGTTGAACACTATTATGCATGTTCTTTTTTAAATACTAGCATGTTCTTTTTCAAACACTTTTTTTTTTTTTTTCTCATGTTCTTTAAAATAAGCCTAATGTTCTTTCCGGATGCACCATGCGCATGGTGCACTCGGGTGCACTATACTATTTTATAATACTATGATACTTTATCTTACACCCCACTGACATTTTTCAACAAGAATTTCTTAAGTTGCATGTTTACACTAACTTGAATGAGAGAGTATTTAAAAAGCAACAATAAAGAGAATATTTAATGGATTCTTAATGCATGTATCCAGTATTATTTACCTTAAATATACTGAACCTTAGAATATATATTGGACCTCCTCTTTTTGATATTGGTTCAAGCACGTCATCAATAGGTACGTCTTTATTAACATTAACAAATCCGGGACATAACATATTGAAACAATGTACTTGAGAATCACCAGCCTGTAAAATATAACAAAGGAAATTATATGTTAAATCATGCTATTTTGAGTACAAATGTATAGTGCATCATCAGGTTACATATACTTAATAATTATATTCAATAACACTATTTGGAATTTATAATTTGCACGCATATATGCGTGTTAGTGATTAGAGAGGTATGGTTCATAATGCTTCAAAAGGCAGTTATAAACATGTTTACTTGTGTTTAAGATATGGTTCTCTTATTATAATGTTATACCACTTAGAGCTATAGAATTTTATAAAAAAATAAAAATCAATTATGGGTTTTAACCAAAAGCTTTAGCTTTGAACATAGTATTAAGAACCAACATGATAAAAAGGTCACGAGTTTAAATCTCATCCACTGTTCTTTTCATCATGTGGTATACTTAGTATTGTATTGTGTATGAAGAAGTCGATATTGCATCCATATTTCAAGCCCAAATGACTCTTATGTGAAGGGGTGTGATAGAAATATAAAAGGCAGGTGTAGCCGATCTTTTGCTATGTTTTAATTATTGGTTAAGTTAGCCTTTTAGCAGTAAGTATTATTTGTACAAAAATATACTGCCTTCGTCATTTTTAATTCTTTACACTTTGAATTTTTTCAGTTTGTAATGTTCATCTTTGACTAGGTATATATTCAATTAAATTCAATTATGAGACATTCATGTATAGAAAATACATTTCAAGCTAAATCTAACAAGCAATCTCATATGATATAGTTTTGATGTTTATAATTGTGATTTTTTACACTCAAAGTTATAAAAGTTGACCATAAAATTCAAAGCATAAAGAATTAAAATTGAAGGAGGGAATAATAATTAGATAGAAAAAGATAATAATTATATATTCATATACTTACATTAAGATATTGGAAAAGTCGAGTGCGGCCGTCGTTGTTTATTGTCGGATTAATCTATATTCATACGAAAAAATGTATGTTTATCAAGTAGAAGATAACAAAATAAACAATTATTTAAGAAATTAAACAGCATAAGAGCATCTTCAATGGTTTAATTGTAAGGACTTGCTTGCAATATAAATAAAATTTCTAGCTACATGCTTACCATTGGAGAACAAAAAATTGAGCACCATGCTAGCAATTGTAGCCCAAACAAGCTACATGCTTGATTGAAAAAGAGACAAATAAACTCCACTTATATTATAATATGTGATAATTATTTATTTATTTATTAAAAATTTATTTTTTACAAACTAAAAAGTGTTGTAGCTTACCATTGGAACACTTTGTTGCTAAAAAGTGTTTGTAGCTTAAAAATTAATATAGAAAAGCAAGCTACAAAACATTATAGCTTGCCATTGGAGATGCTCTAAACACTTTGTGGAAAGACGATACAATACAAAGAAATGTATGTTTTTTTTTTTTTTTTTTTCTCTAAAAAAAAAGTACAAAGAAATATCAATTACAAGCATCTAACTTCTATTTTGTCTTATCCTCACGTCCTGATTATTGCCTACTTATCAGTTAATTTTTATAATTTTATTTTCAATTGTAAATTAATATCATTAGATGTATAATTACATACATTAAACTTTCATTAATTCACTTTATAAATATTTAATTTAAAAAAGATTTTTTTAAACATCATAGGGTTACATGCTTGCAATGACTAATCAAACAAATATGATTTTAGAATCGATGATAATTGAGACGGTCTTACACAAAAATTTCTCGTTTAATTTAGTAGTAATGATCGATGCGCTCATAAATTATCTTGATTATTTTATCATAATATATATTATAGCAAAGCGAACACAAAAAAGTTAGTAGAATAATAAATAGTTTCAAATTTCTATTGATACATAGAGAAAAAAAATTAAATTCGTAAATGCAGAAGTTAATTAGGATGTGTGCATATGTAAATTTATCGTCAAATTTTAATTATCCATCCCGTGTATTTTCTTACAAGACACATCTTTGTCCATAATTTTTTTTTACTTGTGTATTGAATAAAATTATAAAAGCAAATATTTAAAAATTGACATAGTATGTTTCCAAAAAAAATAAAAAAAAATTGACATAGTAAAATGAATCAAATAAAATGAACATATAGTAACATATTTTTATTATATTGAAATATAAAAAATACAATTAAAATTTTCTAAAAAATAAAATACAATTAAAATTGAAAACTATAACACCCGAAAACAAATTAGACTAATAATAATAACATCCGAAAAATAAAAAATAAAGCAAGTGAAGTCTACTAAGCATATATTCCCTCAAATATAAAGTTCTCCCTCCCTTCTTTTTTTTTAAAAAAAAAATAAAATAAAAATACTCCCTCCTTTCTTTAATTAGTTACATGTATGTATTTTATTTTGGGGAAACCAAAATTACATGCTTTTTAAAAAAAAAAAAATTATGAGTTGTCATCATTTTTTCTTCTATTTAATTTTTTTTGTACTTGTGACATCATTTTCCGACACTGTCTCTCTCCATCTGTTTAGGGTTCGTTTAACATTGATGTGGTTTTCTATTTTTTGGTTTTTTGTTTTTAAAAGTATAGGATATATGTCCCATAATGAATCAAAAATTATTTAAACATATTAAAATTATAATAATTTTGAAAACTGACAACAGAAAAGTAGAAACACCTTTTTCTTGTTTCCTGTTTTTGGTTTTTGGTTTTAAAAAAAAAACAGGAAACTGAAAACCAAAAATGATGCCAAACAAGAATGTACCAATTACCTTTTCTTTTTCTCTATTTCTCTAACACCACATTCATATTTGTACATTCTAATCATGGGTTTAATTGAATTACTAAGATTCTAAATTTCCGTGAAAAAAAAAAGAGAAACAAGCTTGGAAATAAGGGATGGAGGGAATGCTGCGTATATATAATTAAAAGTATGAAAATAATTTGGTTGATGACTTACTGTCCATCCAAATTGTAATTGGACACACAAAATTTACATAATGGAAAACAAACAAGACAAATAATAACATCTGAAAAATAACAAATAAGGCAAGTGAAATATTAAGCAATATATCCCTCAGCTCAAATAAAAAGTACTTCTATATGATTAAAAAGTAAGAAAATAACTTGGTCGATGACTTACTGTCCATCCAAATTGTATGGTTTCTTCTCCATTATTAAGTATCACTCCAGCCGAAGAATATTGAGAAGCGCTTACGTTAAAGTTATGAACGCTAAGTACAACTTTTGCTCCATAATAATACTTTGCATTTGGAATAGGAGTTTGAACAACTGCAAACTGAGTATAAACAAAAAATATTTAAAACAAGCTTGCATTCATCAAGGACAACATATTAATTTACATAAAGTTTTCCTTTTAAAAATACTCATAATGATGTATTCAATTAAACATTGCATATTAGATTTTATAAAATGTATTCACCATTAGAAAATACACATTAAACTACAATCAAATCATCACGAATCAAAAGTTACCCATAATTGGTTTAAATTATCAAAAAATATTTTTTTATCCTTCAATTCATCGTCTTTCAAATTTCAATGAAATTAACAAAATTTTACCTTATACAAGACTTATTCTACCATGTTACAAGTAACTATATTATTGTTAATGGTGATTTTTTTTATTTTTTATTTTTTTATTGTATTAAAAAAAAAAAAGAAAAAATAACACTTACATTATTTTCCAAACTATTACTTTTGGTTCGTGAAGTATAATAATCTGTAAATCGTTTCATTTTGATAAAATCGTCCTTGCTCACTCTTTTAATAGGAATTGTTCCTGTTGGGCACCCTTCACCTCTTGAATTCATATTGGTAAGTACCTCTCTATCTTGAGAAATTTTTGACTCTTCTTCAAATGCGAGAGTAGATGGCTTCATCTAAAATTAAAATAAGCATTTATTAGATAAGTGTAATGAAATACTTGTATGTTAATTCGATATATATATTGCCAATTCGAATGAATTCACTTGAACCTTGGGATGGAACGAGTGATTTGCCAATAGCGGATGATCAAAAGCAGGTTGCGTATAAAAATCTACACAGTCATATATGTCTCCATACTCATTCTGCGATTAAATGAAAATAGTTAGTTTTATCACTTATGAATTGTATATAATAAAAATTCTTTTTAACCTTTTTAATTTTCATTTTTTTTTTTGAAAAAATGCATTAAAATTTAAAAGTTGTAAACAACTACTTCATCCACTATTCACAATTTGAGAATATCTTCTAGCAGATTATTCCTAACTAATGTATATATGTGCCAACCAAAAAGAATTGATGTCTAGAGGTGAGCGAAAACCTAAATTAGAATCGGATTTTTGAAAATATTTAACGACTTGTACCTGAATCGTTACAATTTTAAACCTAAAACAACCCGAATTAATTACATCTTAACCCGATAGTAAACGACTCATTTTAAACCGAAATTGTTTAATTCAACAAAAACCCATTGCAACCTGTAGTTCATTGTGATGGTTGTACCATTTACAATCTGTAACCTATTATGACCGAACCGTTTTAAACTCGTACCCTGTTATGGCCAAACTGTTTATAACATGTAACCTATTATGATCAAATCATTTACAACCCATTACCCATTATGACCAAACCGTAAACCCCTTAACCCGTTATGTCTGAGCCATTCACAACCTATAACTCGTTATGGCCAAAACATTAACAACTCATAACTTCTTATGATCAAACCGTTTACAACCCATAACTTATTATGATCGAACCGTTTACAACCCGTGTAACTTGCTTCCCCAATTTTTTCTATCTCCTTCTACATCCCACGTTTTTTCTATCTCTTTTAACCTACTATTTAATAAACCCAACTTGTTTTATGACCCTTATTAATTAATTGTGAGTTTATAACCAAAGCTCTTCTTACTTGCTACCCAATTAACCTGACGTGCATGTTTATGATTAAACCAATTGCATCATAACTCGTTCAAATTTGTTATTTAAAACCTGATTTTGCTCTTGTTTAAAATCTGTCACAATTTTAACCTAACCTGTTTCAACCCACTACTCGATAAAACTAACTTTTTTTTTTGAAACCCGATAAAACAAACT